TTTTAACAGAAATAAAGTCAAATTGCAAAATTTAAACTCTCGTAACTTCGAAATTTTTATAGATAGAATTTTTTTAACATTTTTTCCGTGTTCCAAATATCTTACCTTACCATTTTTAAGAAAACTTTTATTTTCAATATTCATATTGCTCATTAATCATCATGTAAAAAATTATTGAGTTATGTAATAATCTCATTTAATTTCAGTTTTGTTGAAAAACATTGATAGGAACTTTATAAAATACATTTTGATTCGATTTTGTGTCCTTAAGGGTTGATATTTGTGTTATTTCGTGGATGATAACGGCCGTTATCGAAACGTAGCCCTGAAATAAATTAGTATTTTTCTTCAATTGTCCTTTATAAAATACAATTTAACTCTTGCTTCAATGTCCTAATAAATTAGTTTTAAAACACGTGTTATGAACATGATAGGAAACATACTGAGTGTATGTTTAAAAAACCGGTAACTAAAACACTGACATTAAAAAAAAATTGCGGTTATAATGATGAAAGTCTGGATTTTTTTATTGTTCAAAAACCTTTTGATAAAAAATATCAAATTGTGTGGTATAGAAAAAATGTTTCATGGATCCCTACCTTCTACACACGAAGTATTATAATCAATTCACTATTCACTATATCATTAATTATGTGTTGACGTCATAAATTTTATCTCTTGAAGTTGAGTACTTTGCAGAAAATCGATTTTTGAATTGCATGATAATTCTAGTGTTTTTTCAGACTCTTTTAATATACGTGCTTTTAAAAACATTTTATGTAATAAAGTCAGCAGACGTAATACCCTATAGTAGATATTTTTAAAATTTGTCAAAAACTGGAAAAAGTTTTGAAAAAAAGTACTTAAAATTCTCAAAATTTGTTTCTTGACGAGTCTCAAATCAGGAAGCATAAAAGTAAGTTTTTTAATCATAAAATTGTTAGCAGTTGAACGAAAAATATTAAGACTAAAATAAAGTTTTTACGTAACATAACAGGTTTTATAATTAGGTACTTATTATAAAAAAAAAAACGTGGTGTAAGTATATACGTTGTACATACATACCATAAGATGATGATGTGTTGTCTCAAAGTGGTGAAAACGTTTCGAAAAGTAAGCAAAAAAGTGAATGTAATAATAACCATTATAAGGACTAGTTTTCTTTACATTAAGTCTAGATAATTGAACTGCATATTGATTTAAAAACAAAAAAAAATACACTTGAAAAACTTCTACATGCACTAGTCAAAGCTTTCCCTGACTTTCTGGTTTTATAAAGAAATAATTAAATTTGATATTTCTCAACAATTTCGCTATAACTTTTCGGTAACAATTTTATAAAAAAACATTAATTTATTGACCTCATAACTTTTTTATCTTTATTATTTTCCATTGTTAACACATTGCTTTTTACACATACATATAAATCTTTGTGATTTTAATGATCATTTCATGATTCAGTAACAATATAATTTAATTTAAAAAAAAAACAGGCAACAAAAACGAATTAGTGATTACAAAATAGTCATAAAACTAAATTAGCGCTTTTAAAGTTAAGTCTTATTTAAATACTATCACTGTAAGTATGTATTTCCAATATAGGCAATATGCAGGATGTATCGATTTAATGATACTGATGATGTTGTGAATGTTTTTTACAATTATTTAGTAAAAATACAAAAATTTTGCCAATAAAAGCCACAAATAACATTAAACAGAGTTACGATTTAGGATAGAGCTTCCTTGTTTCCTCTTCTAATAGCCTGGAGCAAAAAAACTTGAAAAATTATTTTACCAACAGAAATAATTAAGTAAAAGTGCAAAATCTCATAACTTCGAAATTTTTATAGATAGAATTTTTTGACATTTTTTCCATGTTCCTGGCGCAATTTATTCAAAAATATGAGGCAATATTTGAACCTCAAAAATGAGCTATAAAATGATCTTTTATTATTTTAGTTTTCTTATTCTTAGTTTAAAAAAATCACAAAAAATCTGATTTTTAAAGCAAACAAAAAGTGTAGATTATGTTTATTGCCGTAAATGGTATACGTAATTTAATAACCCATATTCATAGTCATATTTCAAAAATTGTTAATTATACTACGTAAACTAACAAAAAATAACCAATTATGTATGTAATTATAAATGTAGTACTTATTAATTTAAAAATGTATATCTGAGAAAAGCTCTATTTCTATGAGTTTTGAAAAAGTACGGATTATCATTACTCAAATCAACGCGAGTTTTAAGAATAAAAGCATCAAATCGCAAGAAAAATAAGTGTAATACATACATTTTGTAGGTAAATATTTCCGAAAATTTCGAAAAATGAAACCACGACTCTTCGTTTGTGTAATTACTAAATGTCACATCACTGTCACATTAAAAAATGGCAAGATGACAAAATGCGAAAACTCAAAAACATTTAATTAGTGAATATTAGAACTTTTAAAATTCAGTTTTCGACTTTTCAGAACGAAAAGCATCGGTAAGTCATAAAATAAAGGTCCAAAATTTGTACTTTTTTAGCTATTAACTAAATCTAGATTTATAAAAAAAAGTTGAAAATAAATGAATACTGAGTTTTAAACTAGAATAATTGAAGGGGTGAGTGGATAAAGGTGATATATAACATTTTTTTCTTGAGAACTAGTATTTTTTTTTCGCAATATTCTTTTATTAAAAAAAAATTGTGTCGTTATGAATCTATTAGGAATAAAATTACCAAATGCTAAAGGCGTTATATACAACTTGGATTGTTGAATAAACAGTGGATAAAGGTGTTAAAATATGTTTAAATAAATAAAAAAAAAAACACAAATAACACTATTTTTACTTAATTCAATTACTGTCCGACGTATTATTGACAAAATTTTGCGAAATAATTGCGTTTTTTACTGAAAAATGTTTTAAAACGCTCGAAAAGAGCATAAATTATGTCGTTTTTTATTTAGTCTGGTATATGTATTAATTTTTTGGTATGTTTTTTTGCAAGAATTAAAGAAAAACTTGGTTTTAGACTTAAAAACGTAACTAAATGTTTGAAAAAAGCAAAAATAACATCGTTTTTGAATTAATTATGTAATTTTTTGGCTTATTTTTGCCGCAGTTTTGTGCTTTTGATTGAAAAATCTGCTAAAACGTTTGGAAAAGCAATCAGATGATTTTTCGGCTCAAAAACATGCTTAAACTCTCCAAAAAAGCAAAAATAATTGCGATTCTGACTAAAAAACGTCCTAAAACGAAAAAATGGTATTATTTAAAAAAAAAAATATTTAGCACAATCTAAAAAAAGTAAAAATAACACCTTTTTTGAATAAATTAGCGATTTGTGGCGAAATAATTTAGTAAATTTTTAATTGAAATACGTGCTAAAACGCCCAAAAAATCTTAAAAAAGGTCATTTTCAACCCAATTTGGTAATTTTTCAATATGTTTTAACAAAATCTTACAAAAAAAAACGAGATGTAAACAAGCAAAATTCATTATTTTTCACTTAATTTAGTGACTTTTCGGTATATTTTTGTCTAAACTTTTAGAGATAATTCCGTCTTTTATTGAAAAATATGGTGTTAATATGGGAAACCGTTTTCGAAAAGTCGATGAACTAGCTTCAAAATTACACCCAGTAAACAAGAAAAAAAATCTTTTAAATGAGAATGTTAATTTTCGGGACAGAATAAAGTGGACTTTTTTTATATTGTGTCGTTAGAATTTCATTTATAAATGTTTCGTTAAACTTGAAATATTTTTATAAAGCAATAGTTATCACAAAGTTTATATTAGAAAATAAAGCTTGTTTTTTGGTACATAACACTTTTATCAATTTTTTAATAATATAAACTAATGCATTATAGTGGATGAAGGGGTCATGTACATTTGACCGTTAAAAAATGTATAAAAAATATAATTACCTAAGTTTTCTTATAACAAGGAAACAATATTCACATAGGTCTTTATATATGATGTGATTTTTTTATTAAAAACAAATTGGAAAAAAGTAGTAGCAAATTATATTAAAATGCTTATAACTCCAAATATAGGTTAATGCACATGACGCCTTTATCCACTCACCCCTTCAATTGTGTTTAGCAAAAGCTGGTAAAGTAAGTTTAATGTTTTGACTTGAAGTAGTTTATTCAATGATCCACAATTATTAAAAATAAAGCAAATTTTAATTTATTTAATCAAAAAATAAAATCTAAAGTTGTTATAACATTAAGAAACTATTCTATAATTCTTGAGTAGCCTAAAAATGATGAATATGTAATGTAAATCGCAAATCACCTTATTGAAAATTTAAATCACGCGCTTTATGATGTCGGTAATACAGCACTCTTTCAGCTACCAACATTTACGCATTGAAATGGAGATGTCAGATAAATGTCAAACGTTCAAACTTGTCAAACTCTAATCCGGCATATTTATCTTATCACAGCCAGTTGCGCGAAAATCACAAGCAGTAATAGAATGATTACAGTGTCTGGTCATAAAAATGTTGTAAACATACTTGCGTTCGATTAGTTCCGCAAAAATGACGGATCCATCTCCTTCTCAAGCGATGCAAGAACCGACTGCCTCCACTGTGACAGTCGTAGAAACCGTCGAGCCCGATGAACAGGTAAACATTACGTAATTGATAAGCATTTTGAGTAGTTGTAGTTGAAAATGTTGGCCACTGTGTATAAATCCATTCCTCATGTCAAAATCACACCTTTAAAAATAGCAAACAGCGCGTTCAAATCAATACACTCGCAATGTGACCGTAATTACCCGCTGGAAGGCGTGAGAGTTCTCGATTTAACTCGAATAGTGGCAGGACCGTACTGCACCATGATTTTGGGCGACCTGGGGGCCGAAGTGATCAAAATCGAGCGACCTGGGAGCGGCGACGAGGCCCGCAAATGGGGCCCACCCTTCATCAACACCACCACGGAAACGGCGTATTTCGTGTGTCTCAATCGCAACAAGAAAAGTGTCTGTGTTGACCTCAAATCGCAAAAAGGGCGCGATATTTTGTACAAATTGGCCGAGAAATCGGATGTGTTGGTGGAAAATTACGTTCCTGGAAAACTAGACGAAATGGGGCTAGGTTATGAACATTTCAAGGGCATTGCCCCCCATTTAATTTACTGTTCGATAAGTGGGTTTGGGCCTGATGGCCCTTACAGGAACAAACCTGGATATGACGTCATTGCGGCCTCAATGGGGGGCTTTCTTCATATCACCGGGCCTCAAGGGGGCGAGCCTTGCAAGGCCGGCGTTGCCATGACTGACTTATCAACAGGGCTGTATGCACATGGGGCTATCATGGCGGGGCTTTTTCAACGCACCAAAACCGGAAAGGGACAAAAAATCGACTGTAATCTACTTTCAACTCAAATCGCTTCATTAATCAACATTGGATCAAATTATTTAAACACGGGGAAAGAAGCCAGTCGCTGGGGCACCGCCCATGAAAGTATAGTCCCATACGAAGCATTTCCTACCAAAGATGGCTATTATACCATTGGAACTGGATCCGATTTGCAATTCCAAGACTTGTGTGGAAAATTAAAAAGACCAGATTTGGCCGAAAATGAGAAGTTTAAAACCAATCAGCTTCGAGTCAAGCACAGGATTGAATTGATCAATACATTGCGTTCAATTATAGTCACAAAAACCAAAAAAGAATGGAGTGAAATTTTTGAAGGTGGTTCATTTCCATCAGGGCCTGTTAATTCGTTAAAAGAAACTTTCGATGACCCTCATGTGAAAGAAATTGGATTGGTTCAAAATTTGGAGCATCCTGTTGCTGGTACTGTAAGAGTTGTTGGACCACCAGTCAAGTATAGTGATGGAGGAAATAGTGTGAGATCTCCGCCACCTACTTTAGGTCAACACACTAAAGATGTCCTCGAAACAATTTTAAAATATTCAACAAAACAAATTAATGATCTGAAAAAGGAAAATATTATACAATGAAAAACTCACTTGCCTGTTTATTAATGTTGCTATTTTTGCATGTATTTACTTTTATAATAAATCATATTTCGCACAATGTATATTACAGTGGAACTCCTCTATAACGAAAATCGTAAATTCCTCTATAGCGATTTTTTTTGGAATTGGGGTGGATATAACAAAACTTTTATTTTATCCAAAAGAAATTCTGAGAAATTTCGGAAACAGATCGGTTATAACGAGAGTTTCTTGAAGAAATAAAAATCCTGCGAGTCTCTATTACGTATTGTGTACCAGAATTTTTTTGTCGTGCTCGAAAAGAAAAAATCAATAATAATAGAGTTTGAAAGTGGTAAAAACAAGCTGTAATTTGTAAAGAAAAAAATTTAGTCAATTCTACATTAGCAACAATTTTAACTCTTTCAGGTACACACTTTAATGTATTTAAAATACCGTACTTTACTGGATTTTAAAAATAATCATTTTTCAAGTTGTTTTAAAAAATAGGTATTAAAATAGCACTAACGACAGTTTTTCAACGGTTTTTCAACCCATTATTTTAGATTTAAGATTTTTTACTTTCTCCGACACCTAATCTCATTAACTTCATGAACCCCTCGTAAAATCTCGTACATTTTTGGTAATTTCAAAGCATTCTTAATATGAAGTAGTCATTGTCTATTACTTATTTAGTGACATAATAGGCATTTAAAAAAATAAATTAAGAAAATAAAATAGTATTATAATGAACAAAGAAAAATAACAACAAATAATAAAAACAAAAGCAAACTAAATAATTCGTACGATAGCTAACAAAAGTTATTATTTTTTGTAATAATATGCTTGAAAGCAGTTTTTCTGTTTGCCTTAACAAAGAGTATCATTGAAATTTAGTGCCACCATTTATGACTTTTTCAATTGAGTAAGTGACGGACAGTGAATTTTGTCCAACCAATTTCCATGACAGACTAAAAGTGTAAATTAGTCTTTAGGTTTTTCTAACCTTGTTTGAGAACTTTGATGAAGATTTATCATGTTGACAAAATGCCCGATTTTCCTTACATACTTTTTACCTGTGCCAAATTTATCAACAAAGTTCATGTTATTGTTGTAAATCGCCACAACTTCGGGACATACCACTCATATCTCAAAAAACTATGAATAAGAAGAAATACAGTTTGTAAAAATGCAAAAAATGTTACCTAAATAGGCTGGAAATGCTCAATGACGTCACGAAGTCTACTAGTCGAAATAGGAAAATATTTGCTTATAAACCGAAGGATCGAAATTCTAATCCCAATGAAAGAATTTTTTTTGTTTTGTTTTTTTCCTCTTTTTATTTATAACCAGTATGCATTATGTGTATATTCTCAAAAAACAATTCAATTTTTTTGAGTTAAAATAACTATCATAAAAATGTAGGTATTTCAAACTAATTAATAAATTATAATAATTTTAAGTTCATTGATTGTAAATAAAAAAAAAAGTGGTAAACTCTACAAGAATAATGTCTGTATTATTAAAACATTACCATTAATGAGCAAAACTGCTCAAAAATATAAATTAAGGTGAGTTAATAATGTGTTACAAGTTAAAAGAAAAAGAACAATTTGCAGAAAAATTTGGGGATTCTCTAGAGATGAAATTTTTTGTTATTGGGTGCTTCCACCTAACCAGGATGTCTTTTACAGTACAATTAGAAAGTGCAATTGATAAGATAAAAATGCTTCATTACAAAAAAACAAACAAAAATTACAGATTTTTCTCTTAAATATTAATTTTAAACTTCTTTAATATTTGTATTTAATAAAATAAATTATTATCCATGACTGTTTATAGCGAAAATCGGTTATAACGAGCCCCCTGATTTCTCGTTATAGAGGGGTTCTACTGTATTTAGTTTACTACTTATTTACAGGATAATGAATTACCAACTCTCAAGTTAAAGTTAAAAAAACCCAAAAACGACAAAAAAGTTAAGTGGACAAATGAGACCGTGGATAATGAACATTTGAATAAAAAGAAATCAAAATGTAAGTAATTTTTTATCTGTATTATGAGATTTTAATTTTTCTTTTAATCAGGTTGTTGCATTTATGAGAAACCTAGGAATTTTGATGAGAGCAGTTCAGAAGAAGATTCAGACGATGAGTGTGAACACTGTAAAGGACATGTGGAAAAGAAGAAGAAAAAGAAACAATCGGGAGAACACCCTATTAATTGCGATCACTAAGACTGCTTATGTGGATATTTATTAATTAATGTATTCCAAGTTTGTACACTAGCGTTGTGGAATAATTTTAAAATGGGGGACTGGTAATGTTGTGTAAACAAATGTGATAAAAGCAATGTATTATCATATAGAAAAAATAATGTGATCATGGTTTCCTTACTAATTCACTTATCAAAACTATTAGTGTTACTCATATCAAATGACTCGCCGTCAAACTATTAGTGTTTTTGTATCTTTATATTTTCGTCATTAATTTTGAAATTGGGGAAATAAGAGTTCAAACTTTATACAAGGCTTATATTGTTATCATTTTGCTGTCATTTTATTATAGTGTGTTTAAAGTAGTCTGCATTTTTGGATTTTTATGTGGTTTCTGTAGAATTTTAATTTTTTTAGAACATTTTAATAAACTCTTAAGTTTTCCATTGAAGCAATATTTTGTGGCTAATTTGTGACATCTAACATGTTAACAGTACAAACCCGTAAATAATAAGAAGGTTAAACTAATTTATGATTTGTTACACGCCATTTTTAAATTGTAATAAATCTTTTTTGTTTTTGTAACTTTATTTTTCGTTTAAATTTATCCTCATCACCAAAACGACTGTGATTTTGTAAAGTCAAAGGTGATTTTTTCTTTAGATAAACGTCCATTTATTTAATTTTTTGGATTTTGTTTAAAAAATGAGAATTACAGAAACATTTCCGAATAAGAAAATTTTTCATTAATTTTTATTTGGTATATTGGCTAAGTTGCAATCGAGCGAAGGATTTATCATGACATTGAGTGGCCATCATATTTAATTTTTTTTAACATCTTTGTCAACGGTTTTGCAGGATCATGAAGTGCCTACACTTAAACTGAGGTTAACGAAACCCAAAAGTGATAAAAAAGTAGACTGGACAACTGAAACAGTGGACAACGAGCATATGGATAAAAAGAAATCTAAATGTATGTATTTAAGTGTTATTTTATAAAATTTGTTGTTCCTTTTTAGGTTGTTGTATATACAAAAAACCGAGGAATTTTGATGAAAGCAGTTCAGAAGAAGAGTCTGATGATGAGTGTGAACACTGTAAAGGTCACGTGGAAAAAAAGAAGAAAAAGCACCCTCCTCAAGATGATCCTTCCACATTTAAGTCCTCTGATGAAAGTCTGCTAAATCATAACGAATAATTTATTATGAAAAATTACTAAGACATTATTTATTCTTTTTCTTATTGGTATATTCAAGGTTGTTAGTCATAAAAACACTCCTTCATATTTGGACGGATAACTAAGAAGTTATAAAATACAATTATGTTACACTCAAAACACTGAATTTATGTTTACATGAAGACACATTTATTGCCGTTTCAACTTATCTTTCGTTCGACTTCGCCTAAACTCAACACCTTTAGGAAACTGCGTTTCACTTAATTTCAGTTCTCGAACTTTTGCCCTAGACCTCCACACCTTAATTATGTGATCATCTGATGTGGTTACCAACATTTCGGGGTCTTTGGGATTAAATGCTACGGAATTAACCACATCATAATGAGGGAATTTAACTAAACACATGCCGTAGTGTCGATCCCACAAATACCCATGCTTATCTTCAGCACCACTGAAAACATTCTCATGAAAACCTGAAATAATTTCAAAATGCTTCTCACCTAGCCACGTACTGATTACAAACATCCAAAAATATAAAAAAACATTCGCTATTTGAAGTGTACGCCTTGTGTGCTCGTAGCATAGTACCAACTTGTTTCAGAGTCACTAAATCGATCACATGGATGTCGATCTCTTGTGCGATTGGTGGTGGATCCAAAGGATTCGATATTTTGTAGCCTTCAGGCCACGACCTACTGTTGACGTAGAGGTATCTGTGGTCAGGACTGAGCCCCATTCCGACGATATGACCATGTAAATCGATCACATGGTCGACTTTGTCAAATTTATCCGCCACTGAATCAAAATCCAGCCAGTTTGGTTCCGGTGGGGGCGAACCCGACTTCAAAAGCTCCCTTTTGCGTTCACGGAGAATTATGCGCTCTTTTAACGATGGGCCGGGGTCCAAACGTTTAGGAAAAGCGAAAGGTTTTATCCGCTTAAAACCTAAAAAAGTTTATCAGAATTCAGAATAATTATTAATTTGTACCGTGCGATTATTATAAAATAAATGATTGAAGTCCTGCAGATGGCAATCCTGATTTTTGACATCAAATGTCAGCGGACACTTTGACAAGTTTGCGTTTTATTCCTTTTGAGTGAAATAATGTTCACTTTAGAGCAGAAAATTTTTATTGCTTTGCAAGACGAAAACGGTGAATGGTCATTTTCACTTTCAGATTGTGTAAAAAATTTCCCGCCCAGAGTACATTTGGAGACAAAATACTTTGGTCGTCAATGTCACTTGAGTGACATTAAAATGTAAAGCATGCTTTAAGACTGTTAACCTTATTTTTAGCTACTGTCAATCACAGTTGACAAGTTGTATGTACATAATTTTGATAGGAAAATATAATATCTGTCATTAATTTGAAATCGTTATTCATTTTAACGTTAAAGCTTGAATTACAGTCGCAGCCATTGAAATGTAATACACTTGACAAATAAAAAAATTTTGGCGTTGCATTTATTTCTCCTGCGATGACTCGTATAGGGACATTGTCCCTTAATAAAACAATTGCGGCATTTTTAAATTTTCCTGACGGCGTCCACCACTGATTTGTCAAAAGTGACGTTTTCAGTGACACGACGAAAAAATTACATTATGCAATTTTTTAAATTTTGAAAGGATGTGTCAAAATCCCGTGTATTACTTTTCAATGACCGCCACTGTACATTAAAGTGTCAGAAAAGTAACGACCAAAGTATTTTGTCTCCAACTGTACCAGCCAATGTGTTGCCAACTGTAGAATTTAATCGACGCCTACTCTAATTTATTTTTTTTTGATCGCACGGTATTACTAGGCCAGAAACTGTCATTTTTCAAGTGCTCGCACCTGCAAAACAGTTTCTGGCCGTGTATACACACTTTCGGTCAACAACATTTTTCAATTAAAACAAATTTATTTATTGTTAAATTTTCTCCGACTAAGGAATTTATTTTTCTTCTATTGGTAGCATTTACTCCACGGTGTTATGATTTAAATTTAAAATAATTTTATGACATTTGTAATTAAAACTTTTGAAAAGAAAATTCAATTGCATTAGTTGAAAATGGATACACAAGATAAAATTTGTTTAAAATGTTGTGTGCAGTGAAACTGTGTAGAAATACGAGATTTAGGCCCGAAGGAGTAAGTTTTCAGCAACGGTAGAATTTAATGGATGCCTACTCTAATTTATTCTTTTTTTGATCGCACGGTAATTCTAGGCCAAAAACTGTCATTTTTCAAGTGCTCGCACCTGCAAAACAGTTTCTGGCCGTGTGATACACAAAACTTTTTCAGCCAACAACATTCTTCAATTAAAACAAATTTATTTATTGTTAAATTTTCTCTGGCTAGGGAATTTATTTTTCTTCTATTGGTAGCACTTACTCCACGGTGTAATGATTTAAATTTAAAATAATTTTATGACATTTGTAAAGTAATTAAAACTTTTGAAAAGAAAATTCAATTGCATTAGTTGAAAATGGACAGACAAGATAAAATTCGGTTAAAATGTCGTGTGCAGTGAAATGGTGTAGAAATACGAGATTTAGGCCCGAAGGAATGAGTTTTCACCGGTTTGAGGTTATGTGAAACAAATTGTTTTTGCAGAAATGACCAAAAGGTCATTTGTTGGCTGTGTGGAAAGCTGTCTTTGAATCTTGGATAAAAAGTGGCAATGGACAGAATTTGTAAGTACAAAACAGACTTGACATTTCAGTGTCACTCAGTGCTACCAATACAAAAACTTTCATATAAAAATAAAAACCTCGTTTTTCTTCCAAAGACACCCAAATTTTAGCCGGAGGCCGAAAAAAGATTTTGTTAGATGCAATGAATTAATGTTTAACGTCTTAATTAGTGTTTTTGCGTACCTATCTGATGAGGTGTGTATGTTTTAAATCCCGTGGTAAAAATCAAATATTTATCATTTTGGGTGAGCTGATCCGAATCTTCTTCAGAACCTTCATCATCACAATCATCTCTGCCAGTGTCATCATCTGTTTCCTCCTCAGAGTCATCAATTAGCATATTCTCAGATTCCACTTTGCGATAATCTGAATTATACCAAATCGGATTTCCCAGATCTGAGCCACTTGTTACTTTCTTGGCATCAAAAGAGGTAGCACTTTCTAAAACATGCAAGTTTATTCAAAATTGAGGACTTTTTAGATCAATACCGGAAGAATTATGTGTGCAGGGGACTGCATTTATGTCCCTGTGGCTTACAGGGTTTCCATGTTCAAATGTGTTATTTTTATGTTTAGATGGGCCGATTTCAACTTCGGTTTCTTTGGTCTCAGTTGTATGTTCCGAATTTGGAAGACAGTTGGCGATCATTATTGCTCTAATTGAGCTAGCATTTCTGTTATAAAACCGAAACATGTTATGAGTGATGGGGACATGCTCTGATTCAGCCTCTTGTGATGCTTTATTTAGCCATAATGAGGATGTACTAACTAAATGTGCTAACCAATGTAAGTCACCTGAGAGTAAATGTTGGTCACTATACCAAGTGCCATAAATATCATATGGCTTGTTTACGACTCGACATTGTAACTCGAATCCAGCTAAAATAAATGTATTTGACACATTTTCGTGATTTAGAATTTTATTACCGAGTAAGTTGAATACTGCGATTTCACCTGAAGTACTGTGAGGTGTGCCAAAATGAACTCCTGACACGAGAAGTAGAGTATCAGATTCGTTAAATTGGGAATATTGTGTGTATTTCCAGGAGAAACTATTCATATCTCTTGAATATTTTATTTCCACTGGATATGTGGAGTTCCAGAGCTTTAATCAAATCAATTATGATTAAATATGTTTAAAAGTTGAATTTTACCAGAACATAACCATCTTTTGAGCATGTAGCAAAATATTTGCCGTTGTGTGAAAAGCTGACATGAAGGACTTGATGTCGATGATCTTGTAATGTTTCTGTTTGGACCACTGGAACATTGTCAAATAATCTCTTGAATTCCTCATACCAAGTTCTTCCTGGAAATAAATGAGTTAATGACAATGCGTATAAAATTTCTTATTTTACCAGAAACTATCGGTACAGATTTATCGACAAGAAAGTTTTCAAAGAACAAGTCTTTCCAAAGAAAATCATCTCGACTAACCTCATACCAGTTATGACAAACTTCACTTACACGCACTAAATCTTTATAATTTAAGTACTGAAAGATTTTGAATAAAGCAGGATAAGGTAAAAAAGCCCACATAATCCTTTTCTTTGTTTTATTGTTATTTTTTTGTAAATATGCAATTTACTACTGTGATCTGTCAAACTTGACATTGACGTTTGTCAGATAAACAGCTGATTTCTGTCAATTTTGTTTTAGTTTTTTAACACAGAATGTTCTAATTAGAGCACTTCTAAAGTGATAAGTATCATTATTTATTATTTTATAAATTGTAACAAAGATTAAAAAAAAAGATTGCTTATAGTCATAAAAAATCGCAGATCGCAGATCAAGAAGGCATTTTTTCTTTCATATTATTGTATAACTTGTTTTTAGAACTTGCACAAAAATCTACTAAAATCTCGACAAAAATCAAAAAAACCTCATTAAAATTGATCCATTTTACATTTCTAGAGGTCTTAAAGACTGGAAAGAATGCATAAAACGTTATTGGGTCAAATATTTTTTGAGTTTTTGAAGGTGAGCGGTATTAAAAAAACCGCTTAAAATATAGTTTTCTAGACGTAAAATTACGCGCTGAACACAATGCAACAAGTTAAAATACTCTACGATGCATAGTTTTTGAGATATTGAGTAATAAAGTTAAGAATAAGGCTAAAAGTAAAAGCACTATATCCGATTTTGACCAAAAATCAACATTTTTTGATTCTTATGAAAAACTAGTACTATATGTAAAATTAACCGGAAAACACGCCTGTACAAACTGCTTTGACCTAGGACTCATAGTTTTTGAGATATGAATTTTTTTTTGAAAAAACTAAAAATGGCTCTGTACCCGGABCCATAACCCGGAGCGACTTCCGGTTTGCGCCAATAAATAGATAATTTCAAGCTACTTTTAACGGTGTTTAGCTTTTTGCTCTAAATCTTATAGTTTCGTAGAAAAACGCGTTTAAAGTTTCACAATTTTTACAATTTTCACTTTTTGAACGGCGATTACGACCAAACTATTAGACTTAGAACAATCAGTCTAACTCCATCGTAATCAGCGTAAGAAAATCTATCGACTGAGGCCAAAGCCAAGTCGATATCTCGCAAAAAAAA